ACGTGTGGGGAATTTCGAGGGAGGATTTCACACAATGCGGTGTTAGTGCCTATTCACCTGTTAATGACTGATAATGCACTCAGATTCGATAAAAGGGTTGCTTATACTTAATTAGCAAACCATGTTGAAACAGTCACCACTGCAATCGCTGTCCCGATCCCAGAATGAACACAATTTTGGACGTGCCGAGAAATAAGTGCATGCACACATCTGGAGCTGTAGGTTGGTGCTCAAAAAGCACCACCAACATCTTTACAACAAAGTATTTTCCGAACTATTTCTTAAAGTTAAGTGGAAGAGAATTGAGATAATCACCACTACAGTCCGTAATCGCTTCCTAACAGGACAACGTAACTACGAATTCCACGCTAAAATGCGTTTCACCACTATCAGCAAGGAATCTGGCCGTAGCCACCTCCGTCTTCATGCAAGCGTGTAATTCCATTGACGGGAAAGGGAGGCAATCATCACTGGCACAAGTATCATTGGGCCATTTTCGAGCAATGCTGGCTGATTTCCTTCTCGTCTCCCAGCCGTCCTCAGGTGCTGGTCGTCACACGACTCATTTGGGCAAATGTGAAGTGTGAGGCCTTGTGTACGACGTCCTGCCACAGTGTGTGTGTGTTGGATAGTGAGTGGATGGTTTGGGGAGGGCCAATGACATGTTGCCTTGCTTCGGAATATCAATGCACAGAGGCCACTTCACATCACAAGTCGGACGGTCAGTCAATTCATCTGTTGGTCGCACAGAGAGTAAGTCGTTCAGTCATCTAGGCAGTCAGGTCAGTCAGGCAGGCAGACAGGCAGTCTGCAAACAACCTAGCGTGTGTGGTGCAATTTTGCAAGGTACGTGAAAGAGGTGGTGGTGAAGAACAACTGAATCATCTTAGAGGCTTACTGTCTGTGTCTGTCGACCGCTAATACATATGGGTGTAATTCATTTGCCTCGTTGCCTCCACCTCAAATACTTGCTCTTATCACCTTTCTTTCCGAGTAGTGTATGAATGGTGAGTAGTGAGTGGTGAAATGGAAATATGGATCATGGAATATGAGGTAGTGAATGTTGTTTGGTGACGCTCAATTCTCCATTCGAATCATGCGTGGACATTCCAGTCTTCCTGATTATCATACGCGTCACACCCTCATCACCACATTACTACTTCAACCATTCCTCCACGTCATGTTTTGCCACCGCGCCTTCTCACAATGCAACACGATGACAAATCTGAGGAGAAGCTGGCTTTGCGTTGCCGCAACTCACCAAAAGTGGATTTGTCAAGCAGACAACCTCAAAATCACATCAGGCTGTGCTGACATTTTCATGAAATGCGTATTCAATGAAGTAGAAAGTGGTGCTGGTAGGTGGACGCATGTCTATGCTCTGTGGTGCGAACACACGAAAAATCGTCGCCTCGAAGGCCTTACACTACTCACAAGTGGCGCTGAATGGGTGCGCAGCACCGATTTAAGCCTAAAAATACCACTTTGCATCAATACTTCAGCCTGTTCCACAAAGTATTGTACTAGGAACACAGAGATGTTGCACAAATAATTGAGTGAGAAGTGGCTACCTCAGCAGTCCAATTACTAGACAAGTACCAAATCAACCTCCGACTGCATTGCCAGTAGTCTGCATTTCACATGTCGTCCTCAATGCCCAGCTCCCATCGCCCATTAACTAATGGCCACTCAGCAATGACTGACGGTCATCGGCGTTGAAGCCTTTCCCTTTTAATATGGAATGACTGCATCACAACGATCGTGTGCGCAGCTTCTCCATCATCTAGGCAGCACGTACCCACTCACAAGCAAATGGTATGTACTAGCACTGCCAGGCGTGTCTGCAACAGGCGAATCCAAGCCCACACTTGTGGCGTTTTGACATGCTTCGTGACACACCCTTGTACTCGCTCGCGAATTTGTGCTTCTGAAGTAGATCTCACAACACCGTTGTTGCGTTGTTGCTGCCTTGCTATACTTCACCCTCCTAGTTGCAGTACTGAGTAAGCCAAAAGTGCTTCCCACAATAGCTGGACCGGTTGCGCACAATGGTGCCCATTCTTCTCTTAACGCCCAAACAGTCTTCTCGCCTAGTAATTTAAAACATCGTCGACTTACTCAAACACCAGACGAGACGTTTTGGGCACAATGAGACACAAACCAACGAAAGGTCACCAATCGCGGTGTCGGAGTATGTTTTCGCATTCTGCTCTATTAATTATCCAAGATGGGATGCACCAAAGAATGCTCATAACACGGAGTGTAACAGAGTCCTTGTGTAAATACACCATCAATCCCTATTCATTCACTCAGTCACTCATTTATTGAGCTGGTTGGTTTGGCAGTTATTACAGATCCCATCCACAAATTGTCACTTGCAATTGAGTTGTGTGTCAGTAGGCAAAGTGGTTTGCTGCTATTTCACTCAAGTCTGCCCTCCGGTGTTCTTATTTTCCAAGGCGCTTGAAATGATGAGTGGGTGCGCGCTGCATTGGCACACACAATGCTCCCGCTAGTCTGCCATTGGCTAACTTAAATTTGAATCTCGCGACGCACTGACATGTGATTGGGTGGAGGTGGTATCCGCTCCACATTGTTGCTTCACGGTGTGCAGCTCATTTATTCCACGAAATCACTGGTTGACGACTGCGTGGGAAGTCACTTGCGATGGTGGGAGTCACCGATTCGCCTCGTCACAGGCCTCACAATCTACCCTCGTCAATTATTTGCAACTCGACTGCTCAGAGTGCCTTGAAGCAGGCATGAAGTCATTCTCCCTTCCCGTTAAATGAAGATGAAGACGACACTCTCTCAATTAAGAGGGAAAGCAGGTTTCGAAGACCTTCGGGAATTGATGAGGTCTCCCTTTTCCCCACTTCGAAGTTGTTTGTGCTCATAAGTGCTCGAGGAACATACTTAGCATAACTAGAATCACAATCAGAGCTTTAGATAGAGCAGTAAATTTCAGCCTTCCTATAGGTGGGTAGACTTTGCAACAGCGATATTAGCTAAAACAACCACACCAGTAGTGTAACTTTTGTTTTGAAATGTGATATTGCTTCCCGCGTCTTCTGTGGCAAATGCAGAATTCTGACTCGCTTCTTTGGGTCATGAGTCTTGGTGGTTTGTATCTTCGCCGTGGCACCGTGGCCTTTGAGCCACACTTATAGCCTGTCAGCCGCTCTCTACTTTAATAGTCTGCCTTCTTCTATGCTCTTA